TGTGGAGGGCAGTGTCACTGGCCCTCATATGTGGGATCCGAACCGGGGCCCTCTGGCGTCCCAAGCCAGTTCTTAACCATCGCGCCACTCGGCCAGCCCTTCAACCTGAGATTTTGATGTTAGTTTCCTCAGTATTCTATCAGGTGTTCAAATATGGTTCCCCTACCTCTTCAAAAGCAAGATGAGTTTTGAAGCCCATTGCATTAAAAAAATCATAGAAGGAGTTAATTTGGAATTGAGATGGGCTTCTAAAATGAACAATAAAATGGTCAACGGTCTTCCTCCACACGGATCCTTCTTTTCCTTCTCTAGGGACATTCTTGAAGCTCCAACTGCCTTGGAGAATATGAAGTGAGGAATAGAGTCACCAAAACATGAAGAAGCAACCCCTTTTGATCTATTTCCCTTTGACAGACAGCTTATTTCAAAGGACATTATGGGATGATAGAGGCTTTTAGCGATTGGCATTTCCGACTATGGTATAAATTGACTCTTCACACCAGTCAAAGTGAATGATTCAGTGGTGGGGAGAAATTCCTTGGAAAATAAGAATACCAAGGTGTGGGAATAAGAGAGAGAGAAAGCAAGCTATGACAGAAGGACACTAGAGATTCTCCTAAATCACATCAGCAAAAAAGAATGAATTATGGATGCATAAACTAACAATAGCATGAGTGAACCTCAAGAACATTGTGTTGAGGAAGTAAAGCCAGACATAAAATTCATGCTTTGTAGTTTCTTTTATAAGAAATTCCAGAAAAGGCAAAATTAATGTATAATGACCAAAAGGACAAGACTGGGTACTAGATCCAATGGCAGGCATGAGGGAAAGGGGACGACTAGGAAGAGGCAAAGGGAAATATTTAGTATAATGTAAATGTTCTCTGTTTTTATTATTATGTGGTTGTCAATAGTTGTGTTCAAATCCATTCATTTAAAATTATCATATGCACTTTTATGTAAGGTATACTTAATAAGTTTGATTAAACTGACACAACCAGAATGGAGCAGGCAGTTTAAATTTACAAATAGTTTAAAATATATCAAATATCCCAAACCTATCTGTAAATAAATTATACCTGAATTTCTTTCATGGGTTACTATCATTTGTAGGCCTAATACTATAATGCAATATAAGCAATTTTAACCAAAACCTGGAATTCAATTATTTCTACACAAAATAACTACAATGTTTACAAATACCATATGATTAATCATCGTAACTCTCCAGTTGAAACTTATTTATTAGAATCTCAGTTCCTTTGCACATTTTATACCTCTGATTACAGAACCTTTGAACCTTTTATTTCCCTATTCATCTTCTAAATTTCAGCACAAATTTTTTTTTCTTGAAAGGCAACTTTGAACTTTAAAATTATTTAATTTCTCTCTCTTTTTCATCACAACAGCAATTATATGATATGATAATTACAAAGTTTTGAGTTTGTCTCTCATAGTTATAGAGAAAATACTTAGGAGCAGATGTAATGCTTAGCAATTATCACATATGTTGAAATAATTAACTAAGTATATGTATCAAGGTTCATTTTTTGAAAGCATTCAGTACATGAAAGTAGCATTTATGGGAAGAGATATTTCTAGTCAAAGATGGAATTTAATATTCTGGACTGAAGAAGGCAGTTTACTACTAAAGAGTAAAAAGATCTACTCAAAAAGAAGAACAGAGGGAAGGACAGAGATTAGGAAGACTTAGTAAACCTCATACGATATAAATACTTGAGGGGAGAAATGGCATAGATATGAATGAATGAACTGAAAATTGTTGTCAATTTTCCTATTCATGTTTCAACAACATATTACTTACATCCCAATTTTGTCTCATTGTTTTCAAAATAACAAAACCTATGAAGCAAATCCTTGAGAGCTTCTTTCACCTGCTGGTTTCTTAGGGTGTAAATGAAGGGGTTTAGTAAAGGTGCAACTGAGGTATTGAGCACAGCGACACCTTTAGTTAAAGTCACCCTTTCCTTTGCTGATGGTTTCATATACATAAAGATGCAACTCCCATAAGTAATAGAGACAACAACCATGTGAGAAGAACATGTGGAAAAGGCCTTTGTTCGTTGCTGAACAGAAGGGAATTTTAGAATAGTTTTGATGATGTACGTGTAGGAGAGGACCACTAACAACAAAGTGACTACAAGTGTCACCACAGCTAACACAAACGCCATCAATTCTATGAACTGTGTATCTGTGCAAGAGATCTGCAGGATAGGAGAAGAGTCACAGAGGAAGTGATCAATAGTTTTGGAAGCACAGAATTCCAGCTTGAGTCCCAAGGCCAATGGGGGAAAGATAATTAGGAATCCAGCTAACCAAGAGCTGAGTACAAGCTGAGAGCAGACTCTGCTGTTCATAATGATCGGGTAATGCAGCGGTTTGCAGATGGCAACATAGCGGTCATAGGACATGGCAGCCAGAAGGTAAAATTCTGTAACTCCTAATAAAAGAAAAAAGAATAACTGAGTTGCACAACCATTGTAGGAAATTGTTTTGTCTCCATTCAGAATGCTTATCAAGAATCGTGGAATGCAGGCAGTTGTGAAAGAAACTTCTAAGAAGGAGAAATTTCGAAGGAAGAAATACATTGGAGTCTTGAGACGGGGATCCAGCAAGGTGAGGAGGATGATAATTAAGTTCCCCATCAGGCTCAAGATGTAGTTGAAAAATAGAAACAGGAAAATCACAGTTTGCAACAGAGGATCATCTGTCAATCCAAGCAAAATAAACTCTATTTCCATTGAGTTGTTCATTTCTTTTTTTTTCCTATCAAAGCTAGAGAAAACAAAATTAAATCATAACTAAAAAAATAATTTTCTTTATTTTCAGTCATAAAATATCCCATATTTGGAAACTTATCTATGTGCAAATATTTTCACAACTCTACCTTGAGTTCATCAAAATGAACATGTCCTCTAATGTTAGTAACCTTTATAAAAATGCAGTTTCTTCCTGTGACAAGATTGAAATAAGGCATACTTACCACTTAATAGGGGACTTATCAGTCATTTGAAATTTAGCTCCACAATTTAGTGTCTATAACCCACCTTTCAAATACTTTACCTTAATAGACTAAATAGTTCATATTTTCTATTTTCTGAATTTAGTAACTATCTCAAGTAGTTTTTATTCCATTTAGTCAAGCTGCATTTCACACAGTCATTTATTACATGTTTTTGTATGATTTTCTTTCAGTTTTTTTTAACTCCCTCCACTTGCCTATTCATATACTTTGTCAGCAGTGTTTAGAAACAACACTTAAAAAGTTCTAAGTAAATCATTAGCAATGCATCAAATCTGAATGACTTAGGAAATAAAACAAACAGAAAAACTAAAATTAGTCTTCCTATATTTTAATCTTTTAAAAATTTATTCAATTTATAATAGTCTCATATTACCCTCTTTATGGTTGTGTTGATTATGTTAAAATTACATTAAGAAGTTATATCTTTTCGTTTGAGTATAAAATGATTTATTTATTTTTTTTATTGTGAAATACACATTTTTTAGAATTAGTTTCAGCTGTACAACACAGTGCAATAGTTATACTTTTTACCTCTCGATGTGACAACCCCCCTCCCCCAATCTGCCGCCCCACTCCTCCTCCAATATCATACATATCTATTACAATTCCCTTGACTCCACTCCCACAATAAATGATTTTAAGCATAATTCTTGTCACTGACTAGTGCTACAGCAGTATTTAATAGTTACTAATTGCATTAGTTTTTTTGCTAATTATATTCTTTGTAGTAGAACAAGACTTCTTTGTCTTAGTCAATTTTCAGAATTGCCAGATAATATTCAAAAGGCTTTCTTTTTCCCTCTTCTTAAAAATATAAGCTATGGTAGACAAATCAAATGCCACATAAATATTTTCCTTTTCTTTTCAATTAAATTTATTCAAATATATTCCTCTACTTTTCTAGATAACCTGATATTATTTTATTCACACATGTTTTTTTTAACTTTATTTATTTTTTTAATTATTATTTTATATTGTGAAAGCCACATTTTTTAAGAATTAGTGTCTGCTGTACAACACAATGCAATAGTTATACTTTTTATCCCTTGAAGTGACAACCCCCTACCCCAATCTGCTGCCCCACTTCCCCCACAATATCATACATATTTATTACAATTCCCTTGACTCCACTCCCACACTATATTCCACATCCTATGACCATATATATATATATATATATATATATATATATGTTCACTTATAGTTGACATACAATATTATACAACATCAGCTTCAGGTGTACAGTGCAGTGATCAAGCTTCTACCCCATCCATGATGCGGTCTCCCTAGCAAGACATGTGACCATCTGATACCCTACAAAATATTTACATTATTAATTATATTTCTAGAACTGTCTTTCATATCCCACACATGTTCTTTTTAAAGCAACTGAATTCCTGGAATATTTGTCTTAAACAAATCTGAATGCTTGTCACCAGTTTGAATCTGTCTAATCTTCATGAATAATGTTAGTCTTTGCATTCCAACATAAAAAATATTTCTATTTGATTGTCCCTTAAGTTTTTTCCATTAATCACTTTCCTTCTATTAAAATATAAATCTACATTTTTATTCATTATCTGTGTAATTTTATGACTTGGTAGACTTACTATGACTAGTAAAGACATTACTTCTTTATTTCATCATTGTTTCCTATTTTTTATAATATTCTTAGTTTTGCTAAACACACTAATTGTCTTTAACCTTGAATTGGGTATAAATGTTTTGTTAGATTTCCTCAAGATGAAAAAAATAAACAGCAGCTAATTGTCACAAAAGATAATAACTGCTCTCTATTTTTTCTTCCATGATTCATCCAATGCAATTACAACTTCATAGAGTTAAATAAATAAAATGAATTAGTCATTGGTATATGAAAAGATACATGTTATTATGTTTTACACATATTCATAGTAAAATTAAATAGGAATTTTTACTTCTCCATCAAAGGAATAGATCAAATAAGACAATTTAAAGACAAATTTAATTCTCTTGTATTTCCAAATTATTTTCCTAACTTCTAATCCAAAAAAAGACAAGCTAAACAAAAAATGTGACTTACCTTACACAGGCATGTTGGGGTTGCTCTTTCTGTTACGGCATATGCAGTAGACTGTGTGGACTAACTACATTATGAGTGATGATGATCATTTCAGGACGTTCAATTATTAAAAAGATATCTAAAAAACCAATGTTTTCTTCAGAAGGATTCAAATAAAAGGTGAAATGTGTTTTATTTACTTTTTAAAATATTTCCCATTTTTCACTTAAGTTCACATTCACTACACATCTCAGGATTCAGATGCTAAAGAACACCGATGTATCTCTATTATCCTTTCCAGTTTGGTAAAATTATCAGAAAAATATCCTTAGCCTTTAACTGGAAATGTTGTATCAAAGAATCTAAGAAGAAATACAATATATAAGTTCAGAAATTGAACATATCCCATGATTCTAACACCACTAACGTTTTATCTTTTGGCTCAACAAAGACACAAGGGAATCTACTGAAATCAGCAAACAAATAAGACGGTAAAATATTTCCCCAGAGACTGGTATTCAGGAAATACTATTTATGTGCCAAACAAAATTCCACTCAGTTTTTTCTTTTTTTAATCTGGGGACCATGCAACAAAAACATTAATTGTTTCATAGTCCTAAGGTAATGTGGAGAAACCTGCTGGTTGAGTTTTCTACAATAAGAAATTTTCTCTTGTTATTAATAAAATAATAGTAATAACAGTAATAATAATAAAAGGCCCATAGTAAACTTCAATGTTGCAAATAGATTCTATATTAAAATGAGGGTTTTAATTGAATATTACTAGAATAGTGACTGAGCCTTTCTTTTTTAATTTTAAGATGGTGTTTTGTTTTGTTTTTATATGGGGGAAAAGAGCATGGTGGCACATTTATGACATGAAGCTAAATAGAGAGAACTTAAATAACTGAAACATATGAACTATATTGATATAAAAGAATATACTCAAAATGACTAAAAGGAATTGGTTACATACATTATACCAGAAACCCAGCTATAAATTATTATTAAACAAATTCCCCTATGATTTTGTTATGCCCCCCAAAAAGTCATCAAAAGAAAATTTAAAAATATTTGCTATTGATATTTAAATATGAAGAAATTGCTTATAGCCATCCATTCTTAAGAAAGCTTCAGGTGTACTAGCAGAATTCGCAAAGTTGAATGGCAGCCCAAACACTGCTTTTTATATGACAAACATAACATCAGATCAACCTCTTGAAAAAAACAAACAGACTATAGATTCTCAACTGATTTGAACCTTTGTTAAAAAATCAGCTATATATACAAATATTATCTATTTCTGGACTCTATTCTGTTCTACTGATCAATTTATCTACTTTAGGAAAATGTCACATTGCATTGATTAATGTAGCTATATAAAAAGTATTAAAATTTCATCTTTTCTTATGGCCAAGTAGTATTCCATTGTGTATATATACCACATCTTCTCTATCCAATCACCTATCAAAGGACACTGGTTATTTCCTTGTCTTGGCCACCGTAAATAAAGGTGCAATGAACATCAGAGCACATATATCTTTACAGATAAATGTTTTCAGATATTTGGGTAGATACCCAGGAGAGGGATTGCTGGGTCATATGGTAATTCTATTCTTAATTTTCTGAGGAACCTCCACACTACTTTCCATAGCGACTGCACCAATCTTCATTCCCGCCAACAATGTATGAGGGTTCCTTTTTCAAGCTTAGTGGCATATAAGAACTTTATTTCTTATATTTATTCTCTTATAGTTCTGGAGGCCAGAAATCTGAAATATGTTGCCCTAGGCTAACGTCAAAATATAGGCAGGAGTGGATCCTTCTGGGTTTTGGGGGAGAAGCTGTTCTCTAGCCTTTTCCGGCTTCTAGAAGATACCTACATTCCTTGGCTTGTGACCCCTTCCTCATATCACACTAACCTCTTGCTTCCCCTGTCACATCTCCTACTATGTACTCAAATCCCCCTTCGCTTCCTTCTTATGAGGACACTTGTGATCACATGAAAGTCCAATCAGATAATTCAGAATAATCTCCCTGTCTCAAGGTTCTTAATTTAATCACATGTGCAAAGTCCCTTCTGTCATATCAGGTAACATTCAAGGATCCAGGAATTAGGACTTGAATATCTTTGGGAGCCATTATTCAGCCTACCTTATACCCCAAGGTTATTAGGATTTTCTGAGCTTCAAGGGCTCTTTTCTCTATCATCTCCATCTGCTTTTATGTCCATTAAGTGATTGCTCTTTCAGATATTTTTTATTGTTTCAGATATTTTCTGTCATACATTTTTTTCTTTAGCTATTTTTTATACTTTCAGTTTTCCTGCTGAAGTTTTCTATATTTTTAATTCACTCATTGAGCATAGTTATATTCATTCCTTTAAATCCTTTACTGTTAAATATAACATTGTATTCACATCAGGGTTGGTGTCTGCCAATTTTCTTTTCCCTTGAACAAGAGTCACGTTTTCCTTGGTTTTGTATATTGGGAATTTCATGTTGTACTCTGCACATTGTCAACATTATATTGTATAGAATATGGTTTCTGTTATATTCCTCTGAATATATTTTTTAACCTAGCAATTAAACTATTTGGACTCAAAACTGCAAATTCCCCCTCACCTTATAAATGTTTCAAATCTCATGTCAGGTTTTAAAGCCCTAGTTGTGCTGCTGTTTTATAGG